AGGTCCCTGGTCAAATCTAAGTGTGATCAAACCTTGGGATCCAGCTTTCACTTATAAGAAGCGTCAAGGACAGAGGTACATATTGAACTGCATATGAGCTTGCAGTCAGCAAAATCCAGGCTGTCGGAATTCTTCAGGTCAAGTGGTAAAATAAGGGGAAAATCCTATAAACAAGATTCAAAAGGCATATCAAGTCAAAGAATGGACAAGACCAAAATATGATGTCCAGGAATAGATACTTGGGTGGTAAAACCACATAGATATGCAGGGGAGTGGTTCCTATCAAAGGGACAGTGGTTACTTTTGGATGTAGGGGAGAACTACATCCCCTACAGGGGCTGTACTTGGGAAGGACCGTAGAGAGAAACTTCTGGGTGGGCGATAGCTGCAGTGGTATCGAGCTGTTGTTAATTCACAGAGCTGTATACACTTGTGTACTTTTCTATTTATGGTGTTTAATTTTACAGTAAAAGGGAAAACTCAAATTGTCTTTCACATCTATTTGCGTGTGTTAGATATGGAGTAGCAGCTGAGATAGTAGTTTCTAGTCCTCATATTGTTCTCGGGGATTTGCGTACTTCAGTGTCTTATGGGCATTCCCGTTTTCTTTTTTCTTGTCTTTTTTTTTTTTTCTTTGAGACAGAGTCTCACTCTGTTGCCCTGGCTAGAGTGCCATGGCATCAGCCTAGCTCACAGCAACCTCAAACTCCTGGGCTCAGGTGATCCTCCTGCCTCAGCCTCCCAAGTAGCTGGGACTACAGGCATGTGCCACCATGCCCGGCTAATTTTTTCTATATATTTTTAGTTGGCCAATTAATTTCTTTCTTTTTTTAGTAGAGATGGGGATCTTGCTCTTGCTCAGGTTGGTCTTGAACTCCTGAGCTCAAGCGATCTGCCTGTCTTGGCCTCCTAGAGTGCTAGGATTACAGGCATGAGCCATTGCGCCCACCGGTCCCCTGTTTTCTTATGGTGATGACTACACACCTGAGAAGGTGTGGGTTACATGTCTCTGCCATTTGTAAGTTATTTTTTGGGTTATTACTAAATATTTGTTCAAAGAGATGAGTCTTCTACCCAGCAGTTCTTGTCACATGTGTTGATTGAGTAGAAAACAAGCTGGATTTATTTTAGTGGCTTAGAGGCTTAGATGTTAACAAATCTTACATTGTGGTTTTTTTTTTTTGGGCATGTAGGCGTAAAATTCATCCTGATCAGAAAAATATTAATGCCTATGTTGTGTTTAAGGACAAGAGTGCTGCTACAAAAGCATTGAAAAGGTAATTTTATCTCTGAGGTTTGAATAGAATTATTGTCATATAAATGTGGGGGGGAACTTTTTTTATTCTTTGGTTTCACTTTAAAGCATGTAAGTAATCTATGGCTCATTTTTAACAACCATTTCTCTTCATATTTATAATGTAGAAATGGGACTCAGATTGCAGATGGATTTCGTATTAGGGTTGATCTTGCATCTGAGACTTCATCGGTAAGTAGTACTTGATTTGTTTAAAGAACCTAACTAGAGTCTTGTAGAGAGAAGTATTTCCTTTTGAGCTTTTGCTGGGAGGGCAGTGGAATCAGTAGTGTGAGCATGAGGGATGCACAGAAGGAAATAGCCTCTGTCCTCTATGGTCACAGAGATGGTATGAAGAGTGGCATAAGGACTTAGGTCAACATTAGCTTTGACTTAGTCATCTTCCATTTGAAGTATGTCTCCCACCCTGCCATTAGATTAAATAATCAGGGGGAATTAGATTGGATAGTACATTAGAGATATTTGGTCTAGCACCTTAGTTCATAGACTGAGGTCTAGAAAGTTCCATTATTCATTGGACAGTTTTTTTAGTATGTGCTCCGTCAGGGGTATAGTCCTAACACATAGTCTCAACTTTCCAGGAGCTGACAGTATATGGCGGGGACAAGCAGAGGGACAGTGTGGCACTGTTACATGATAAATACTGTCATAAATGCACAGGATGCTTTGTCAGCTCAGGAATGGGGCACTTGACTTGGGGACCTGCCAGTGAGAAGGGACAAGGAAGGTTTCCAGCAGAATAGCATTCATATTAGTATTGAAAGATAAGGAGGTATTATCTAGCCAAAAATGTTTTAAAGGACAATGGCAATATCTGGGAAAAAAAAAAACCAGTGAAAATGATGACAGAAACTTAATTTGCTCAAGGAATGGCAAGAACTTGGTACAGTTATTAGGGATATGTAGAGTATGAGAGGCATTAGTAAGGAGTTGGTATTGGACAAATAGGTAGAGGTCAAATCATGAAGACCTTGGTCTGCCATGCTTCATGCAGAGGAGTCGGATTTTATCTAGGAGATATTCTCAAAGTTTAAACATGACAGTTATATAACTAGATTTTCATTTGACAAAGGTGTCTGGAAATGAATGAAGGATTCTTTGTAAAGGTTCACCCTCAGAAACACAGTGCATTTCTGTCAGTGTCAAAGCACCTTAGTTGAGAAATGACAACAGGCTGGATGAAAGCCCTGGCTTTACCTGGCTTTGTTGGAGACCTAGGACAGCATCAGCAAACTATGGCTGAGGACCAAATCCACCCGCTATCTGTTTTTGTTAGTAAAGTTTTGTTGGCACGCAACCACACCCATTCATTTCTGTATCATCTATGAGCTGTTCTCCAGCTATAAGGGCAGAGTTGAATAGTTGCAACAGATACCACATGGCCCACAAAGCCTGAAATATTTGCTACTTGGCCTTTTATGGAACACGTATGCAGACTCCCAGCATAGCAAGTGGTTTCTGAGCATTACCATGTGTCAGTGTCAGCTGTGAATGAAAAGTCACTCCTGCCTCTGGTGCTCACTCACAGTGTAGTGGGGAAGATGGAAGAAACAGTTAAGGGATAGCTTTGTGGTTAAATCAGATATGGGGGACATGAGGGATGGGAGCTTAGCTTAGGATAACTTCCATCTTCTGGTTCAGTGAGTGATTTTCATTAACCCTCCTTGTGTTTCAGAGGGACAAGAGATCAGTATTTGTGGGGAATCTCCCTTACAGTAAGTGTGTTTAAACAAATAAAGTAAACCTTTTTAAGCTAATAACAGGAAAATAAAAACTAAGTAGTAACTTAATGTTTTGCTTTAAGACTAACTTTAGGCTGGGTGCAGTGGCTCATACCTGTCATCCCATCACTTTGGGAGGCTGAGGGGGGCTGGTGGGGGTAACTACTTGAAGCCAGGAGTTTGAGACTAGCCTGGGCAACATAGCAAGAAACCATCTTTAAAAAAAAACTAACTATAAAAAGCATGCAGTGTCATGACATATTTTCAGGGGCTATGTTTGACTAGCTGTAATATTAAATGTCTCCACTTCTCTAAGGAGAGGCCAAGTCTTTACTTCCATTTTGGTTGAATTTGGTTTTAGAAGTTGAAGAATCTGTCGTTGAGAAACACTTTCTGGATTGTGGGAGTATCGTGGCAGTGAGGATTGTGAGAGACCAAGCTACAGGAGTTGGCAAAGGGTTTGGCTACGTACTCTTTGAGGTATGGGAGACTAATACATTTGTCCTTTGAAATGTGCTGGGTGGCGTTGACACTGCTATGTCATCTTTCAGACATAACTCTTATCATTTCTGTCCTTAAATTCCATCTGAAGAAAAATTCATAACCTGCCATAGAGTACTGTTGCTAAAATGGCACTTAACCAAAGATGTCCTAGTTCCCTCTTCCTTCATACTAATGTTACTAAATAATGTTTTAGATTTTGGATATTAGAAGGAACAAGTCTCTGAATCTCCACTTTTAAAATGGAGAAAATAATTGAACATTTACTCAGGTAAAAAAAAAAGTTTGAGGCCGGGCGCGGTGGCTCACGCCTGTAATCCTAGCTCTTGGGAGGCCGAGGCGGGCGGATTGCTCAAGGTCAGGAGTTCAAAACCAGCCTGAGCAAGAGCGAGACCCCGTCTCTACTATAAATAGAAAGAAATTAATTGGCCAACTGATATATATATAAAAAAAAAAAAATTAGCCGGGCATGGTGGCTCATGCCTGTAGTCCTAGCTACTCGGGAGGCTGAGGCAGAAGGATCGCTCGAGCCCAGGAGTTTGAGGTTGCTGTGAGCTAGGCTGACGCCACGGCACTCACTCTAGCCTGGACAACAAAGCGAGACTCTGTCTCAAAAAAAAAAAAAAAAAAGTTTGATCTTTGTACAAAATCGGTTATATTTAGTTGACTAATTATTAACCAGTGTTTCATGCCTATAATTGTTAAGTAATAAAAGAATATATAGACCGGGCGCGGTGGCTCGTGCCTGTAATCCTAGCACTCTGGAAGGCCCAGGCGGACGGATCGCTCAAGGTCAGGAGTTCGAAACCAGCCTGAGCAAGAGCAAGACCCTGTCTCTACTAAAAATAGAAAGAAATTAATTGGCCAACTAAAAATATATAGAAAAAAATTAGCCGGGCATGGTGGCGCATGCCTGTAGTCCCAGCTGCTCGGGAGGCTGAGGCAGGAGAATCTCTTGAGCCCAGGAGATTGAGGTTGCTGTGAGCTAGGCTGATGCCACAGCACTCTAGCCCAGGCAACACAGTTGAGACTTTATCTCAAAAAAAAAACCCAAAAACAGAATATACATACAGTCGTCCCTTGGTATCTATGGGAGATTGGTTCCAGGACCGCCCTCCGATACCAAAATTTGGAGATGCTAAGTCCCTGATATAAAATGCTATAGTATTTGCATATAACCCATGCACATTCTCCTCTATACTTTATTTTATTTTACTTTTTTTTGAGACAGAGTCTCACTTTGTTGCCCAGGCTAGAGTGAGTGCCGTGGCATCAGCCTAGCTCACAGCATCCTCAAACTCCTGGGCTCAAGAGATCCTACTGCCTCAGCCTCCCGAGTGGCTGGACTACAGGCATGCGCCACCATGCCCAGCTAAATTTTTGTACATATTTTTTTAGTTGGTCAATTAATTTCTTTCTATTTTTAGTAGATATGGGGTCTCGCTCAGGTTGGTTTAGAATTCTTGACCTTGAGTGATCCGCCCGCCTTGGCCTCCCAGAGTGCTAGGATTACAGGCATGAGCCCCACCGCGCCTGGCCTCTCCTGTATACTTTAAATCATCTCTAGATCACTTATAATACCTAAATAGTTGTTGTACTGTATGTTTTATTTTTATTTTTGTTGTGCCCCCCCCCAAATATTTTGCATCATAGTTGGTTGAATCCTTGGACACTAAACCCTAGGATGCAGAGGGCCAACTATACCTGTTATTTGATAGCATTTAAATTTTTCTTCCCTCATTGGCAACCTGTTAATATACTGCTTTTAGTTTTATCCTCTGCTGCCTTTTTGTAGTTGAACTTCTATCTGTAAACATAAAGTTTTGCAGCCTGCTTTTGTTTTCTATTGTGTGTGTTCCATTGCGTGATGTTATATATTTTGTACTGTTGTTTCCCTAATATTGGACATTGGCAGTGTTCTCTATTTTTCCCTGTAATAATTAAATTACAGTGTTATGCCTTTTCCTCAAAAGTTTGCCTGAATTTTGGATTGGATTACTTCTTTAAGATAAATCCCCATTGGGATATTCCTACTGACTTTGATCAGTATTGCCAGGTTGCTTTTTAGAAAGGTCACAGTGTATGTTGCCATTATTACTATTTCTCTGCTGTCTTTTTTTACTTGATAACATTGTAAAATCCTTTATCAAATATCTTAAGAATGTTCAGGGTTGTTAGGATTAATGGTTCTATATTAGAATAAAAGAACAATAGCTAGGAGGAGATTGAATGTTCTAACACAAAGAAATGATATTTATGAAATGATGGATAAACTAATTACCCTCATCTGATCACCATATATAAGTATTGAAATATCACTCTGTACCCCATTGAATATGTAGTTATTATGTATCAGTTATAAAAATAAGGTAGGTGTGGTGGCACACACCTGTAATCCCAGCACTTTGGGAGACTGAGATAAGAGGATTGCTTGAGGCGAGGAGTTCAAGACCAGCCTGAGTGACACAGTGAGACCCCATCTCTACAAAAAGTAAAAAAATTAGCTAAGTATGCTGGCACACGCCTGTAGTCCCAGCTACTTGGGAGGCTGAGCCACGAAGATTGCTTGAGGAAGGGAGTTGGAAGTTACCATAAGTTATAATGGCACCACTGCACTCCAGCCTGAACAACAGAGCCAGACCCTGTCTCAAAAAATAAGATAAAAATAATAACGATA